GTCTGTATGTGTGTGTGTGTGCGTGTGTGTCTGCGTGTGTACATATGCATTTATATATATATATATTTATATATATATATATATATATATATGTATGTATGTATGTCTATATATATGTGTGTGTGCGTGTGTGTGTGTGTCTTTGTGTCTCTGTTTGAGTGGGTTTGGGTGTCACATTATCGTACATTTGTCAGAGGATGCACTGTTGCATGACACAGATTGCCATCTGATAGCGATAGCTTACTTTGTCATTGTTACATAACTAATACCATACATCCGCTTACAATTCAGTCTAGCCTAAGAATAGGCGTCCTGACAAACCATCCCCTACAGAAGCGTATGGCGCGCTACTTGCAACAGTAACCATAGCAACGGATCGGATGAGTCAATACCACCCATTGGCCCGTGTCACGCGTTGGTCTTTCTCTCATTGTAACGTACACCTATACCGAATGCAGTCGCCTCCAAGAATAAAAGTCCGGGCAAGAGTCCTCTTCAGCGGCGGATGGGTGCAAACCGGTCCCAATCAGCGCTGACCGAGGCTAATAAGACCCAGCCGCTGCAGAATAAGGGCCCCATATGTCTCAGTAACATTAATCCCGTGGCAGAGATGGATAACAGCGTTACCTCAACGGCCAGTTCGGCTACGTACCTGTCTGCACAGTCGCACTTGCTGGCGCAGTCTAATGAATTGGTAGGTGCTCATATATATATATATATGTGTGTGTGTGTATGTGTCTCTCTGTGTGTGTGTGTGTATGTGTCTCTCACTGTGTGTGTGTGTATGTGTGTGTGTGCGTTTGTGTGTGTGTGTGTGTAAGTATATATATATATATATATCCACTTATCTAGCCTCGTGATCGCATCCAATTAGGTCCAACCCACTCTCCATCCACGCATACATACATCCATACATCTTCATACCCCCACTACATACCCGAACCACCACCCTTGCAGGCTAGCGACATAGTGCAGTCGAGTGCAGGTACAGTCCCCGCTCCCTTTGCCCCACCCAAGCCATACGGAAGTGATCCTGATCTGGCCATGGGTGGCAGCAGCAGCTTAGGACTGGACGATGATGATCTCATGCTGGACTGTGTGTTGTACCTATGCTACCGGTCGGTGCATCGGGTCGCCTCAGGCTACTTCAGTGCGCTGGGTAGGTGGATGGCATGCAACGTTCTTGCGTGCGTGTGTGTACGTGCACAATGATGTATGTTTGTGTATGTGTATGGTAGGAATGTTGTGTAATAGCTTTTACTGTCCTTCTGTGTGTGTGTTTACGAGCTCAATGATGTATGTTTGTGTATGTATATTGTATATTGTAGGTACGCTGTGTGATAGCTTTTGCTGTCCTCGTGTGTGCGTGTAAGAGCACAATGGTGTACGTTTGTGTATGTGTATTGTAGATACGTATGTCCCTGTGTCGGAATGTAGTCATGTGATTGGTTGGGTAGAGTAATCTAGATAACGATGCCGGACTGTGTGTTGCATCTGTGCTATCGGTCGGTGCATTGGATCGCCTTAGGCTACTGCAGGAGCACCGGGTATGTATCAGCTTTAACAATCCTTGTGTGTGGCTGGATATATATTGACGTCCTTGGAAAGTGTTGATACCTGCACAAATATGATCCTGGTAGTGTATGTTTGTATGTATGTGTGTTTGCGTGTGTATGTATGTATGTATGTATGTATGTATGTATGTATGTATGTATGTATGTATGTATGTATGTATGTATGTATGTATGTATGTATGTATGTATGTATGTATGT